TACATTTTTGCCAGTGTATTGACCTTTGGAACTGTTTACCCTAGTTTTCTGGGTTCTCATCTGCTGCTTCTAGTTCACTCCAATCCATATTTAGTAGGGGTTCACCAATTTAAAGACTTTCTTGGCTGATACTGACAGCCAATTATTAACCAGCCATATTGGCCCTAATCCAATAGCTGATATACAGGAATGCAGCCAGGCAGCTTGAAGAGCAGCATCCTGCCAGTAAGTCTGGGGATGGGAAAGGGTCATGGGTATGCAGGGCAGATGGAGACCCCTGCAGTAAGGGAGGGAGTGGGGCAGGTCCTGCCCAGCCAGAGCAGTGAATGGGACCCTGGGGCTGGGTGTGGGACAGAGCTGCAGGCATCTTGTCCAGGGAATGCAGGGGGATGGGAAAGGAGTTCCATCCCCTACCACTGCGTGCACCCCCAGGGGAGGCATGGGGGCGGGGACATATGCCCCCTCCCCTCCTCTCCCCCAACTTGTGCACAGTGTGAGGGCAAGCTGCCTGCTGCAGGCTCAGGGCCAGGGGCTGCACCAGCCTCTTCCCTGGTATGGGGCTGGACCAGGGCTAGGCTGGTAGTGGTCAGGAGAAGGGCGGGCTCAACTGTGCAGGGCGGACAGTGGTGGTGGTGGCAGCACCACTGGGCAGGGTGGCTATGGGTGGGCTATGGGGAATTACTTCGGCTGTGGGAACTCACTGGCAGGCCAGTGCTCTCCAAGTTGCCTGGTTGCATTCCTGGTCCCCTGCATGTGTGCAACTGTGTGAATGCACATGGCATTTATCAATGGCATTATCAGCTGCACCGGCCAAAAAAAGCTGATGGCCAGTAATGTTAATTTTCTTTTTATCGGTGCTGACCCGCTATGCAACTGATATATCAGTGCACCTCTAATATTTAAGTACTGTTTGTGCTCTAGCTTGGTCTTGAGCAAAGGCTACAAATGATGGATAGTTTCAGGAACTCTGTGGTCAAAGGGGACCTTCTGTGAGATCCTTTGACTTGCTTTTCCTTTGCTGCTAATTCTGATTTTACACCTGTTTCAATAGCCACGGTTTATTGGTGCATTAGCTCTTCATTTGCCTGTCCTTGAAAAGGTTGTTCATTGTAAGCCTGAACATCAAGGTAGAGGGGAAGAGATTGGCATGAAGGTTTTTTTGAGGATTCACATGATACTAGTTTTGAGAAGGCATTGAAGGACAGGCCTTCTCTGTTTTAAACATGGAGAACAATGTAGAACAAAATCTTTCTGAAAAGGTTCTAAATTTGTGCCTTTGTTAATATCTTTACATGCAATTATTTCCTCTGTAAATCTACCAGGAAAATCTGGAGGCTTCCCATAGAAGCTTTGTTAGTGTGTATCTAAATGTTAGGGGTGCACCAATAGAGATTTTGGGCTGATACCGATGGCTGATTTATTTATTTATTTTAACTAGCCATATCAGCTGATACCAATCCGATAGCCGATATGCAGCACTATAGCGTGGAGAGTGGTGACTGGCTGATAAGCCTGTTGTGGGGGGAGGGAAGGAGTATAAGGGGGGTTTATCCATTGGGGGAGGGAGTGAGTGGGGCTGGGGCAGCTGCCCAGCTGGGGCAGGGCATGGGACAGAGCCATGACTCATTGGGGGAGCAGCTTCTGCTGCTGCACGCATCCTGGGAGGGCACGAGGGGAGGGGGGCAGCGTGTGCCCCATGCTGTGTGCAAGGCAAGG